ACAAAACCCCTTCAAAAATGTGGGGGAGATTCACAAAGAGTGGACTGCAGCTGGAGTGAGTGCTTCAAGAACCACCACACACAGACGTATGAAAGACATGGGTTTCTGCTGTCGCATTCCTTGTGTCAAGCCACTCTTGAACCACAGACAGCGTCAGAAGCGTCTTGCCTGGGCTAAAGAGAAACAGGACTGGACTGCTGGTGAGTGGTCCAAAGTCATGTTCTCTGATGAAAGTAAATTTTGCATTTCCTTTGGAAATCAAGGTCCCAGAGTCTGGAGGAAAAGAAGAGAGGCACTTCATCCACGTTGCTTGAAGTCCAGTGTAAAGTTTCCACAGTCAGTGATGGTTTGGGGTGCCATGTCATCTGCTGGTGTTGGTCCATTGTGTTTTCTGAGGTCCAGGGTCAACGCAGCCACATACCAGGAAGTTTTAGAGCACTTCATGCTTCCTGCAGCTGACCAACGTTTTGGAGATGCAGATTTCATTTTCCAACAGGACTTGGCACCTGCACACAGTTCCAAAGCTACCAGTACCTGGTTGAAGGACCATGGTATCCCTGTTCTTAATTGGCCAGCAAACTCTCCTGACCTTAACCCCATAGAAAATCTATGGGGTATTGTGAAGAAGAAGATGCAATACACCAGACCCAACAATTCAGAAGAGCTAAAAGCCACTATTAGAGCAACCTGGGCTATCATAACACCTGAGCAGTGCCACAGACTGATCGACTCCATGCCACGCCGCATTGCTGCAGTAATACAGGCCAAAGGAGGCCCAACTAAATACTGAGTGCTGTACATGCTCATACTTTTCATGTTCATACTTTTCAGTTGGCCAACATTTCTATAAATCCTTTGTTTTTATTGGTCTTCAGTAATATTCTAATTTTCTGATATGATGAATTTGAGATTTTCATTTGTTGTCATTTGTAATCATCAAAATTAAACAAAATAAACATCTGAAATATATGAGTTTGTATGTAATGTATGAATATAATATACAAGTTTCACTTTTTAAATGGAATTACTGAAATCAATCTACTTTTTCATGATATTCTAATTTTATGACCAGCACCTGTAGTCGTACAGTCTGAGCTGTAGCTGCGTGCAACCATTGGAAAAATCGTATATGCCCTGCTTAAGGAAAACCAGCTGATTGCATCGACTCATTGACTCTTCAGAAATCCCTCACACTAAGCATGCTTGTAGCGACAGTGGAGAGGAAAAACTCCCTTTGAAAAGGAAGAAACCTCCAGCAGAACCAGGCTCAGTGTGAGCGGCCATCTGGGGTTTAAGGAAATAGAAGCATCAATCCATTATCTGACATGCTTATCCCAAGTGGGGCTGGTGTCTATCTCCAGCAGTCAATGAGCAAGAGACATGGTACATCCTGGACAGGTTGTCAGTCCATCACTGGGCAACACAGAGACACACAGGACAAACAAACATTCATGCGCAGCTCACACCTACAGTTGTGTTCGAAATAATAGCAGTGCCTTTATAAAAATGAGTAAATGTCAAAATTCTTCAAAGAAATTGTACTTTAATGAACACAGATACATTGGGGACACAGTACATTCTATTCCAAAGCAAAACAATTGCGCAAAGTCATCAAAACTTAAATAATAATAACATTTCAAATAAAGTAAGAAATGGCATGTTCAAAAGAATAGCAGTGTTGCCATCTTTCCTTGGAAACTCAAAAATGTACTGTACAAACAAAGAAATTCTTGATAAGTGAACCTAGCTGAGTATCCTAAACTAATATTTTGTTGCAAAACCACGGTTTCTGATGGCTGCTTCACATCTGTGGTGCATGGAGTCAACCAACTTCTGGCATCGTTCCACAGGTATTGCAGCCCAGGATAATTGCACTGTATTCCACAATTCCTCAGCGTTTCTTGGTTTTGCCTCATGCACTGCACTTTTTATGTCAGCCCACAAGTTTTCAATGGGATTAAGGTCCGGGGATTGTGCTGGCCACTCCATCAGTTGAATCTTGTTAATCTGGAACCATGCTTTTGCTCGCTTGCTGGTGTGTTTGGGGTCATTATCCTGTTGAAAGGTCCACCTCAAAGGCATTTCCTCCTCAGCATATGGCAGCATGACCTCTTCCAGGATCCTGATGTACTGGAACTGATCCATGATCCCTTGTATGCGGTGAATCGGACCAACACCATAGTATGAAAAACATCCCCATATCATGATGCTTGCACCACCATGCTTAATGGTCTTCAGTGAGTACTGTGGCTTGAATTCTGTGTTTGCAGGGCGTCTGACATACTGCCTGTGACCCTTAGACCCAAAAAGAACAATCTTGCTTTCATCTGTCCACAAGATATTATGCCATTTCTTTTCAGGCCAGTCAATGTGCTTTTTGGCAAATTGTAAACGCTTCTGCACATGTCTTTTTCTCAGCAGTGGGACTTTGCGGGGGCTTCTTGCTGGAAGGTTAACCTCAGTAAGACGTCTTCTGATTGTCACAGTACTCACTGTCAACTGAAGGTCTTGCTTGATCCTCTTGGATCCCATCATTGGCTGAGTCTTCGCCAGTTTGGCTATTCTTCTGTCCATTCGAGGGGTTGTCTTTCTTTTTCTTCCTCGTTTTTCAGTTTTTTGCTCCCATGTCAGGGCATTTGAGATCATTTTAGCTGAACAGCCAATGATTTTCTGCACCTCTTTGTATGTTTTCCCTTCTTTAATCAATTTTTTTATTAGGAAACGCTCATCTTCAGAACAGTGTCTTGAACGACCCATTTTCCTTGTTTTTTCAGGACAAATGCACAGCCAGCATGCCAGTTGTCTTGATCCTTAAATACGGATCACCTGTTAACACCCTTTTTTCCCAGAATACCCTCCCTAATTGATGCCCTCTCTAATTGAACTCACCACTGCTATTCTTTTGAACACACCCTTTTCAGTTAATCATTCAATTTCACAGAATCCACAGTATGCATGGCTGTCCTGTTGGGTTTGTTGGTTTTCTATACCTTTATTTTACCCCCCAGAAACTTATCTGGGGTATAGAGTTTGAAATGTTAATAAAACAAGTGATTTTCTTGCTGCTGTTGAGGCACTGCTATTATTTCGAACACAACTGTATGGAGAATTTAGAGATTATGTTTTTGGACTGTGGGAGAAAGTGGGAGTACCCGAAGAGAACCCACACATGCTCAGGGAGAGCATGCTAACTCCATGTAGAAAGACCATGGACCAGGAAGCGAACCCAGATCCTTCTTGCTGTAAGGCAGCAGTGCTACCCACTGCGCCACTGAGCAACTTCAAATAGAAGCAGAGATACACATTTTTTTTCATTGTTTGTCCAATTTTTAGTTGGGAATTCTGACTTTCCTGATCATCCTTGAAGGAAAATGCATGAAAAAAGTAATTTTATCTGTAGGTAGACAGGTATGGGGCATTGCAGGCTAACAAAGAAGCCAAACGACCCCCATTCCAAAGGGGGGGAACCGTTCATCCGTTTCTATTTGCATGTTTTCTAAACTAAAACCAGGCTTTGTTGGGCTGCTGGATAAAACCTGGAATTAAACGCTATTTCTGACATTTGGAATTGAAAAATCTTCCTGGATGGAAGAGAAACGTCTTCAAACTTGGAAACAAAGTCCAATGGATTGTTTAACTTTTTTGGAATTCTGTCTGTGGTAATAACAGCATTACTTCCTCCTCTCTGTTCAGTGGAGCTTTTCTGCTCTGACCAACAGAGCAGCCTGGGATGGAAGCATGAACCCAGTGGATCGGTGAGTGAATCTACGAGAACTGCTTCGTTTTTCAATAAATCACCAGTGAAATGGTCCATTAGGCTTGAGGTAGATTAGTTGGATGGAGTCTGGTTCAAATGTGAGATTTTCTTTGATAGGAGGGCAGAGTACGCCAAAGAAATCTGCTCTAGTAAAAATTAAGAATAGTCATCAAAAGGATTTGGTTAAAAGGCTTCTCTACTGCGTAACTGATGATATTTTAGGATAAGGTCAGAAAAGGTACAAAAATAGGACGGTATAAACAAACTCTGGTGTTTCAGAGAGTAAAATACCAAAAAAAAAAAAAAAAAATCTGACTTAAAATAAATTCAAACTCTTAAAGAATTTTCCTTCAACATAGTTACAGCAATTAAATACTGTCTAAATTATTTGGTCATCTAGGGGGGGGGGGGGGGGGGGGGGGTCAACAAGACCGAAACAGACAAAGGAAAATTGAGGTATTGATCCTTATATGCTTTCTATGTTATAAAAGCTAACGGTAAACTAGCTCCACACATGGCTCTGTCAGAAATAAGTGAGGCAGTTTTCATGTCCAAGCATGAAAGAGAAAACAACCAGTTAGCCACAGTAAACGCTGAGAGAAACAGGACTAAACACTGAAAACAGGGCAAGCTCCAACATCTATATTCTAAGGTGTTAACAGTTGAACACATGCTGCAGAGTGGGAGAATAGAGATAGAATGAAGCAGAATGATGAAAAAGGGGTCCCTATGTCCTCCAGCAGTCTAAGCCTATAGCAGCAGAACTATAGAGATAGATCAGGATAACCTGAGCCACTCTAACTAGAAGCTTTATCAAAAAGGAAGGTTTTAAGCCTAGCCTTAAAGTAGACAGGGTGTCTGCCTCACAGACTAAAACTGGTAGTTGGTTCCACAGGAGAGGAGCCTGAGAACTAAAAGATCTGCCTCCCATTCTACTTAGAAATTCTAGGAACCACTAGTAAACCTGCAGATTGAGAGCGAAGTGCTCTGTTAGGAACATAAGGAACAATCAGATGTCGATTTTTTTAAGTAGATGTTTTAAAAATGCTTCTGAACAAAATAAAACAGTTGTATTAAATAAACACCATTTATTGGTGACGGTGTGGATAAATGCTTTGAAATGTGGGAGTTAATAATTATTATATTTTATAATTTCCAGGTCGTTTTTTATGACTTTGTGAAAGATGCTTTTTCTCCTGCTTTTTTTCTCCTTGAACTTTTCTCCCTTAAAATCCCAGTGGAATGAAATCCGGATGCCGCTTGGTTCTGGAGTTGCGGGGCCTATGCTCCAAGCTTGTGCAAAAAGACAGCAGAGGTCGGTCTTCAGCAGGTGGATGGAGCGTAGAGATGCCAACCATCTATACATGGATATTTCTGTCGCCCAAGAGGAAGAGCGGCCCGGCGAGCTCGTTCCCCTAAAGGTTCACCTCTTGGACCGAGACGCACCCATCAATAGATTCCTGAACGGTCCATCTGTCCTGGAGCTCCAGAATTCCAAGCTGTTCTCCCAGTCGGATTCTCTGACGTCAATCGCCAATCATCTGAACCGTAGCCTGTCCCTGGACCTGGGCCCCGTCACGCGCAGAGGTTTCCACCTCGCCTTCTCCTACACAGGAACCTGTGTGTTCATAGCATCCATCAGAGTGTATTACAAAACATGCCCCGAGTTTGTGTCCAACCTCACGTCTTTTATGAAAACGGCGGCAGACTCTGGGACCGTGCAGGGTCGCTGTGTGGCCGGAGCCGTCGAGTCGTCTACTCCGGAGAGAGAGTGCGGCATAGATGGAGCCTGGGGGCCGCAGGAAGGCGCCTGCTCCTGTGATCGTGGGCGTGAGGAGATGGACGACACGTGTAAAGGTAGGAAACCCGATCACCTTAAAAACAAGCAGTGATGCACCGATAGGTTAGCCTCGTGAGACCATCCTGATATCGCGAGCTTTCAAGGTTTTACTCGCTAATCAGTCTGGAGACTCTCCGTTAAAGAAAATTTGGAGCCGTTCCCCCAACGAACGTCCAATCAGCGTTGGCTTTGAGGCGGGTTGAGGTGTGACGCAACGAGAAGCGCGACAGTTCAGTCTAAAGAACATGGCGGCTTCAGCCGATGAAACTAGCGTTAGCGTGGCTATCGAGCAAGTTTTATGGGAATGTTACGCCCACCAAGGACACAACATATTTGAGGACACGAGACAAAAATGAGGGTTCAAAAAAAGATATTTTATTAATAAATTCTCTCCGTTTTAGTTGTTCTTGGTTCGGCTTCTTCAGATGTTCTACGAAGAGAAAAATAGTTAACGGCCCTCAAATCCCGTGCCCCAAAAAAATAACAAAAGAAACCCAAAGTAACAACAGAAAGTTGGACCTGGCAGGCCGATCAAACAGAATAAAACGGTACAGCAGGGGGCCAACCCTATACAGGGCCGTCGAAGCCCCTACTGGTACCGGACTAAAGGCAAAAAATAACCTAAGCGAAAGAAAAATCGAAAACAGGACTACCGGTCCCGCCAGGCCAAAAATCTCAAGAAAAAAGTAAGAAAAAGGTAACAAAAATACCACATGGCAGGCTGGAACGTCCGCTGCAGGCCGCAGCGACAAGACCAGTGCGCACCGCGCACGATGGAGCAAATGAAGCAGGTGGGAAGTGGCGTCCAAACGAGGTTGGAAAAGGAACGCGCTAACGTGCTGAAGGCCAGCCTATTTATAGGCGGACGACAGCACCACAAATTAACATTATTAACTTGCTAAAAGAATCCCAAAATATATTAACAAAAGATCCTTCAACTAAAGTTTATAAGAAACAAAGAAAAGAAATGGACAAAAATCATAATGTGCCCGAAGCACATAACAGGGAATTACAGAGTATTTCTTCACTGAAAGAAGAGCAAAACACTGCTCTGGAGGCTTTTCTCAGAGGAAAAGATGTTTTTGCTCTTCTCCCGACTGGTTTCACCAAAAGTTTGATCTATCAATTGGCTCCTCTTCGTCGTCGCTCTGTTAGTACGTCATATGCTTCGTTGATCTGATTGGTTTATTTGGCCCGTCTATCACCAACATAGGCCAATCAGCTAACCAGTATTTTCGCCAATTCCCAAAATTACTTCAACGGAAGGTTTCCAGATGGATATGCGGAGCAAATCCATCTGGCGGAGTCAGGTTACTGATAGATCGCCGCCAATCGGCTGAAACATTGATAATAAATAATAAAAATTATCTTATTTATTTATAAACAGGTTGAAAATCACCTGTCGGAGCTTCAAACTTTACATTAATCTTTAAAGATCAGTTCTCACCAAACCGGAACAATGTGAACGGAGCCATTGATCCGATTTCCTCCTCAGAGATCAGCAAAGTTTAGGTTCTTTATTGCATTTTTTATTTTTTTTTTTTTCAAATTTCCATTTACAAAATGTGTTCTTTGTAACAATAATGGAACAAATTTCACTCCATAAAAATTTCAGCAAAAACAGCTTTACAATTTTGGCAAAATGTCTTAGATCGTATAAAACAGGGGTAAACAATTAAAAATAAAGAAAATCATCAACCAGTAAAGGGCTGGAGAAATTTTTAATTATAATCTGTAACTTTTGACAGAATTTAACACTGAAATACAATGAAGTTTTTATGCATCCATGTTATAAATTTACTTTTTAAATAAAAAAATAGAAAATTTTTCCATTTTAAAATCTAAAGTGTTTTTTGAAGTAGAGAACAACAATCGTTCAGTTTGGTTTATAGATAATTTCCTGATTCCCATATTTTCTCAAACCCCTGAACTGAGTGTTTGTTCTTTTCTTTAGTTTTTCTGTCTTAATGTTGGCAGTGGGCTTTAGGCTGCCCTGCAAGGCTTTAAACCTGGGTTTAACCGGAGACTAAGCCATTCTCAAGCCATCTCTGATATCAGATGGAGCTTGGCCATTTAAGGCTTTATATGTTACAGACCCTGGTTGTGTTCACTGAGGTGTATACGACAATGAAGTAATGAATTTCATTCTATTTAGCTATCTATTCTTGTTGTATTTATACAATATAAATAAATCGGCCTATAGGCTTATAGGTCTTTTGTCCAAAAAAAAAACAAACCAATAAACATTTTCACAGCACCCCCTGTTCAAAATGACTCCCAGCAGCCCTGGGCCGTTCTTATTCAGCATTACGCAACTTTATGTAATGATTTCCATGTGATTATTTTCTAATCTTGGCAGCAAAGACTCCGTTATTCGGAAAAATCTACTCATGAATTTCACATCCTCATTCCTAAAATAATATTCCTTCCCATGTTGACCTCAGCGGGGTTATTCTATGTTGAAAAATCGTTTCTGTGTCATTTTTTACCAAAAAAATCAGCTGACTGCCTGGTCTCTGTTACACAAGAAAGAAAATTTCAAGATAAAATGTAACGTGAAAATCATTTATGTCCTCAAACCATTTGGGTGTTTTGCTAGTTTAGCAAAATCTATGATATAAATGGAGCTAAGTGAAAAACAAATAGCTAATATTTTGACAATATAAAGTGAATAAATGATTAATTTAATTAAATGTATTGATATTTTCATGGTGCTACCATGTCTCTCTGTAAGGATCATTTCCAGTTAGCAAGCCTACGCAATATTTACTCAGTCAGAAAATAAAGTATATATTGGCTAATGCTAACCATTAGCATCAGCAGAGTTAGCAAAATAGTACAGTAAAATTGTGGATGAGCACGGTGCACCACCTAGTGTCCGGGAGGAGTTAGACATGTAGCTACTGTCATGATTGGGTTTAAGGACTTAGCCCACATGCAGAACACAACGGAGTCTGAAGGAAAGTTTAACAAGGTTTATTGAAAGATGTACAAGTATATAATACTGGATTTGGTTCTGGCACTGGTCCGGGACTAGGGCTGGGTACCGAACTTCGGTTCTTTTATGGCACCGACCGAAATGCTTCGGTTCTACCGAGTATCGAAACATGCCTCGTCTTTCGGTACCAAGTTTCGGTGATTGGCTGTAACACTTAACGTGATTGCGTCATCCAGGAAAAATACACAGGTGGTCCCGCCTACAGCCAGGGTTCATGTGTATCTGTTGTGAACTGGTTGTGAGCGTCGCGGAACTCCTTTAAAATGCCCCCCAGGTCAAAAGTGCGGCTTCACTTTATTAAGACTGATGCTAATAGTGCGCAATGCAATACATCGCGCACGTAAACAATTTAAGAGCAGAAAGTTGCTCGGTGTTTGACTGCAAGAAGAGCGGACCGCAGCCGGCGTGACCATCCTCCTCTCAGCAGCCCGTGGGCGGAGCAAAGCCAGAGCGGAGTGATGCTGTAATAATGTAATAATGCTGCAATTTCAAACTGGACGCAGCAGGAGCAGCAAAATCACGTCTGCTGCTTCCTTTTTTGCTGCTTGTACCAGCTTCTGACGCGCGGCTGAAGAAGCTTTGCTGCTCTGGCTGTGCGGTCGAAAAGTGGCTCTGACGCGCGTTGGGCGGAGCTACTCTATACTTTATTTGCCTTGCAGCTATATTTGCTGTGATCAGTGGGAATAAAGTAGTTTTATTATGTTTTTAAGTGGGAAAATCCCCCTGAAAACTTAATCAGTGCAGTCAGTTCATCCTGCCTTCCAATATTCTTTCTGTCGGAGCCGCTCAGACCCCCCCCATACCAGCAGTGCGCTGTCAGTAGGATCCCATTCAACGGGCTTGTTTGTCAGACATGGTAATTTTTCTAAAGGAAAACTGCTAAGTAAAAAGGTCGTCACAGTGAATATTAGACACTGATTATTTTTTTTATGTAAGAGGAAAAATGTAAATGGAAAAATCAGAGCTTAAAATAAAACGCAAGATTTGTACTTTTTTATGTTGAGTAATTTTCTTTTTCTTCGAATTGATATTATAAAACTGGTATCGAAAAAAGTATCGTTCAGGAACCGGTATCGAAGTGAAGGTATCGGTATTGGTACCGGTACCGAAAATTTTTGAACAATACCCAGCCCTATCCGGGACTGATCTCAGAATTTCTGGAGAGATGAGAGTTTGGTTAGCCAGGCTGATGATGGATTGATAGAGAGAAGAATCAAGATGTACCTTGAGGAGATTGTAACAGAGCCGTGAGGTGAGATACCGTAGGTCCAGAGTCAATGATGTGGCAGAGAGTTTAAGCAGCAGCAGCGTCTAGTTCCGAGCTAGAAGGTTTCTGGCTTGGGTTTGTTCCTTGCTCTATCCAAGAGCTGAAGAAGGAATCCAAACTGAGATCTTCAGGTTTGGCTTTCATGAGCAGGCAGGCAGGTTTCTAGGTGGAGCTCATCCAGAGCTTCAGGGTTTCCTGTGAGCACAAAAGACAAAGGCGATTAGAAGACTAGTTCCTCTCTAGAGTCTACTAGTACAGTTCAGACGTTCTGAGGCTCAGGTTCGCTAACCAAACTAGGCCAACACTCCGGCGTCGAAGGAAGGTCTGGCAGCTGCTTAAGTAGTGTGGACATCTGATGAGCTGATGATCTCCAGGTGTGTAGAGGAATCAGCTCAGGAGGCCCACATCGCTCTCTGCTGGAGATCAGGTGGCAGATCTCTGGATCCTGACAGCTACTACCTTTCATTTGTTGGCTATCCCATATTTTTCATATTTGGTTTTTGTTCTTTAGTCTTAAATAAGTTTTAGTAATTACAAAAAGCATCTGATACCACTAACTCCACTTTATTACTCTCCAAATTAATTTCAATTAAATTTTAATTCAGTCTATCTATATAACACAACTCACAACTTATGGGAGCACAGCTCTATATAGTTAAAACACTTTACAGTACAGTGTTGTATTGTTTATCTTTTAACTCTTTACTATTATGTTATTCTGATACATTTTTCTAAGGTCAGAATTTGTTCGACCATTTTTTTCTATTATCTTTTTGCTGCTATAAACACCAGGATTTCCCCATACACAAGGCAAGGCAAGGCAAGGCAAGGCAAATTTATTTGTATAGCACAATTCAGTACAAAGACAATGCAAAGTGCTTTACATGATTAAAATACAGGAAGATAAAACAGAATCAAAGCAAGTAGGAAAAAATAAATAAATAAATAAAATTAAAAAAATGCAGAAACAAAAAATAATATTAAAAACAGTTGGATTAACTGTTTAAACTAGAACAATGGAAGGCAATCCTAAACAAATGTGTTTTTAGTCTTGATTTAAAGGAACTCAGGCTTTCCGCACTTTTACAGTTTTCTGGAAGTTTGTTTCAGTTAAGTGGAGCATAGGAACTAAATGCAGCTTCTCCATGTTTAGTTCTGGTTCTAGGTCTGCAGAGCAGGCTGGAGCCAGAAGACCTGAGTGGTCTGGAGGGTTGATACACTGATAGCAAGTCTGTGATGCATTGAGGTGCTAAGCCATTCAGAGATTTATAGACTAACAGAAGTATTTTAAAGTCTATTCTCTGAGATACAGGGAGCCAGTGGAAGGACTTTAGAACTGGGGTGATGTGCTCTACTTTCTTAGTCTTAGTGAGGACACGGGCAGCAGCATTCTGGATCAGCTGCAGCTGTAGGATCCACTTTTTGAGGCAGACCTGTGAAAACACCGTTGCAGTAATCAATTCGACTAAAAATAAATGCATGGATTCGTTTTTCCAGATCATGCTGAGACATTAGTCCTTTAATCCTGGAAATGTTCTCCAGGTGATAGAAAGCCCACCTTGTAATTGTCTTTAAATGCTTTTGGAGGTTCAAGTCTGAATCCAGCACTACACCTAGATTTGGGGCCTGATCAGTGGTTACTAGCTGAAGCCACTGAAGCTGTGTGCTAACTTTAGATCTCTCCTCTATTGGTCCAAAGATTATTACTTCAGTTTTGTTTTTATTCAGTTGAAGAAAATTATGGAACATCCAGGCATTGATTTCTTCTAAGCATTTCCTCAGTGCTTGAACTGGTTCATAGTCACCTGGTGACATGGTGATGTAAAGCTGTGTGTCGTCTGCATAGTTATGGTAGCTGATGTTGTTGTTTTTTATTAACTGAGCAAGAGGGAGCATGTAGATATTGAATAGGAGGGGACCCAGGATGGACCCTTGGGGAACCCCACATGTGATTTTTGTCATCTCTGATGTAAAGTTGCCTACTGACACAAAAAAGTCCCTGTCCTTTAAGTAGGATTTAAACCAGTTGAGAGCTGTACCAGAGAGGCCGACCCAGTTTTCCAGGCGCTCTAACAGGATGGAGTGATCTACGGTATCGAATGCTGCACTGAGGTCCAATAGTACCAGCACTGTGGTTCTTCCGCAGTCTGTATTTATACGGATGTCATTAAACACCTTGATAAGGGTGGTCTCTGTACTGTGGTGAGCACGGAAACCTGACTGGAACACGTCAAAGCGGCTGGTCATAACACTGCTTTTTCAATAATCTTACTGATAAAGGGGAGGTTTGATATGGGCCTGTAGTTCTGCAGTAGTGGTTTGTCTAAACTGTTCTTTTTCAGCAGTGGTTTGATCTTTGCTGTTTTTAGGGACTGCGGAAAAACACCTGACAGAAGGGACGTGTTTATTATCTGAGTCAAATCAGACACTATGACAGGCAAAACTTTCTTAAAGAAAGCTGTGGGTAGAACATCAAGGCAGCAGGAGGAGGAACTTAGCTGCTGAATGATTTCCTCTAAGCTTTTATAGTTTATTTGGCTGAATTGGGACATTTGGTCAAGATCAATTCCAGTTGGAGACAACTTTGGTACTGAACCTGATATGGATGTATAAACTGATACTCTGATCTTTAGGATTTTCTCAGTAAAGAAATAAGCAAATTCATTGCAGGCCCTGGTGGGACAATAAAGGAATTTTCTATTCTATTCTATTCTATTCATTTCTGTTCTGTTCTATGGCATCTCAAGGCACTTTACAGAGGCAATAAAGAGAGAAAAATCTGGAATAAAGGATATATCTGAGGGTTTACACTCAGGGTTTACACTTATCCGACTGCAAAAGCAAAACTTTGATCTTATGGTTTAACTCGGTCTGCCTCACGGACTAAAACTGGTAGTTGGTTCCACAGGAGAGGAGCCTGATAACTAAAAGATCTGCCTCCCATTCTACTTTTAGACATTCTAGGAGCCACTAGTAAACCTGCAGATTGAGAGCGAAGTGCTCTGTTAGGAACATACATTTTCTAGATTTCGTTTGTTAAAACACCTCATGATTCCATCCATCTATTTTCTGATACTCTTAATCCCAAGTGGGGTCATGGGCGGTGCTGGTGCTCATCTCCAGCTGTTTACAGGCGAGAGGCGGGGTCCACCCTGGACAGGTCGCAAGTCCATCGCAGGGCCATCAGGATTCCAAATTCCAGGATGCAGCAAATCTCTTGAGGTAATTTCTTTGTTTGTTCCACAGCGTGCAGGATTGGCTACTATAAGCCAACCAGTGGGCGAGGAAAATGCGAGCTGTGCCCCTTGAACACCAGGACAACCAAGGAGGGATCAGAGAACTGCGAGTGCCTGCAGGGGTACAGCCGTCTGCCATCTGACCCCCATGACCTGGGCTGCAGTAGTGAGTTTTATCTTGATGTTTACTTATTCTTTTTTTTTAAGTTAAAGATGCTTAAGAAGGAGAGAGGTCTCCTTTCTCACATAAATCCTGGGAACTTCTCTCAAACTTTGTTACAAACAGAAACTTTTAACAAACAGCCAGCATTGAAAAAATGTGAAGTGAACCAAAAATAATTCTTGATTGTTTTTATATTTACAGATATAGAACATTTGTGAAGGGTCACCAAATAAATTAACACCAAGTTAAATCTAACTAAAAATATATAAGAAGAATAAGAATATAACTGTAAGTCATCTAAGCCCCGCCCCTACAGTGAGGGGGCGGTATTTGAAGCAAAAATGAATAAATCATAAATTGAAAAAAAAAAAATGGATCTGAAAAGCAGTATAAAACTTTTCTTTTTAGTTTAAAAAATCTGTTTTACTTTTGAGAGAAAATGATTTTGGACAAACTTTATGGCGCCAATGTAGCTCCATATTTGATGCCGTAGCAGAAAGTGGGTTTATTGTTTCTTTTTCTTTTCGTTCACAGAGCCACCCTCCGCTCCTGTCAACTTAACAGCGAGTCACTTTAATGACTCGGCGCTGGTCCTGACATGGGACCCCCCCCATGACCTGGGAGGCAGGAAGGACATAACGTACGCTGTAAACTGTGAGAAGAAACCAGAGATGCAGAGTCGCTGGGAGCCATGTGGGGGCGGCATGGTTTTCCAGCCGGACTCCAATAGGCTGAGCGGTACCTCCGTCATCCTGCTGGGGCTGAACCCACAGCTTGACTACAGGCTGTTAGTGGAAGCCAGGAACCAGATATCCGCCGTCCAGGAAGCGGCCAGTTCAGCCGCTGCCACCGTCACTATGCACAGATGTAAGTAGATATCTGTGCACCAGTGAACCACAGCTGGTGAAAATGAGATGGCCTCACTGAGACAGACACAGGGGCGGATTTAGGGAATGTGGGGCCCTAGGCAAAGACAGGCAGGGGCCCCTCTGAATAGAGAAGACAAACCATAAAACAGACCCATTCTCCAGATAGATAAATATTAATAGAATAGACATCCATTATCTGTTCTAGGTTGTGTCCCTCTCTTCTTGTCCCTTTTCTTCTTGTTTTCCTCTCTATGTTTTGTACTCAGCTGACTTTTCATGCTGTCTCTAAAGGAATGAAAGATTTTTTCCAAGCACTAAGCTCACTTAGCTGATTGCTCCTTCCTGTGTTTCCAAAAAGGCCAAAGTAAATAACCCAGTCCTTCTTTTCACTGTAGACAAGCCATGATCTGCTTCTCTGTTCTCCATTTTTCATTTGGATGAAATAATAGCTGCATGAATCATGACAGCAGACAAGATAGAGGAGAGCAGGAGGCGGGGTTACCAATCTACTCGCTCTGGAGAGCAGAGTTCGCTGCTTTTAGATGTTGTCTCCAAAGTCTCCAGTAGCAGAAAAACGTCTCTAGATTTGGCGCTAGGAGCTTTTTAGAAATCAAAGTGCTAGAGGGGTCTGAAAAGTGGCTAAATATAGCGACTAAAGCGCTAAGTTGGCAACACTGCTCTTTGCATGGTTTGTTTTCAAATGGTTTGCTGCTGTCTGTTTGGACCTTTCTGAACATGTGCAGCAAATGGACTGATCCAATATGGTGGACACTGAAGGGGGGGGGGGCTGAGACACACTTAATATTATCAGCGTTCAGATGGAAGGATTTTTATCAAAAACATAATTAATGTGCACACACTGCAAAAAATTGAAATCTAAATAAGTCATTTTTGCTTTAATTAAGGGCATTTTTTCTTGAATTGAGCAGGTAAGTGAGACACTTTGCCAATGAAATAAGAACATTTACAAATAAAATAAGAAAAAAAACAATTGCTTTGTCTTATTTCAAGTGCATTTTATCTAATTATCTTATTTTATTGGTAAAAATCATCATTCTATTGGCAGATCATCTTATTAACCTGCTCAAATTAAGGGTAAATAAACTTAATTTAAGAATTTTTCAGCCTATTTCTAGATGGTTTTTGCAGTGCAAAAAGGATTAGTTGTATTAATCATACATATAAACAGAGTTTTATGGGCCCCCAGGAACTTGTGGCCCTAGGCAACAGCCTAGTATCGCCTAATGGTAAATCTGCACCTGTACCGACATGAAGTAGATGATTGATACAGGGGGATTCACTGCTTCTGCTGCAAAGGCTTAACCTAATTGCTATGAAGTTGTCATAATCCCAAATTCAGCCGCCCGGAAGGAATGGCCTGGTTTGGACTGGGGTATCAGCCGTATCTTCATCTGGTGAGGAGTCGGTAAATAATTGAACTAGCCTGGAGCTGACATGTCGAGGATTAGCACTGGAGGACGTATCCATTTACAACACTGTGTAGGATGACCTGATCACTACAACAACGAGACAAACAATCTCCCAATTCAGGCTTCCTGTGGCATTCAAGGCATATAGGCGGCTTTTAGATCATTTTCATCTCAATGACTTTTCAAATTAAAGCAACAAAGTGTTCTGGAACTTTGACAGCAGACCTTTTTGGAGCAGCAGATGGTGAAGTCATAGATTTCCTTGAAAAGACAAGAACACATTCACCCCTCTAGTTTAAATCCTACATCAGAGAATCAGAAATATCTCATCAGGTTATCCTGAGCTATCTCTATAGTTCTGCTGCTATAGGCTTAGACTGCTGGAGGACATAGGGACCCCCATTTCCTCATTCTGCTTCATTCTATCTCTATTCTCCCACTCTGCAGAATCTGTTAGTTCAATCTCTAACGTTCTGCTCTCTCTGCTTTTTCTCATAGTAGCTTCATCTGGTCTGTTCCTGTTTGGCTGTGACTCCATCCTGGAGAGAAATATCAGCTGTGCTGCTGCCATCAACACCTTTGTTTCTAGATGTTGGGGCTTGGCCTGTTTTCCAGTGTAGTCCTGTTTCTCTGACTGTGACTAACTGGATGTGCTCTCTTCATCCTCTGACATGGGAGCTGGCTCGGAGCTCGTCTGCCTGGCTGTGTGTTTCCTGGACGGGGCCGCCTGTGGAGCTGGTTGACAGTTGCCTTTTGTATCTATGCTTCTTTTTCTATGTCTGCTTCTGTCTCATTGAACCCCAGTGGGCCTCAGCAGATGGCCGCTCACACTGAGCCTGGTTCTGCTGGAGGTTTCTTCCTGTTCAAAGGGAGTTTTTCCTCTCCACTGTCGCTACAAGCATGCTTAGTGTGAGGGATTGCTGAAGAAAAATCAACTGGTTTTCCTTAAATCCAGTTGATCTGCTGAACTGTAAAGTGCCTTAAGATGACATGTGTTGTCAATTGGCGCTATAGAAATAAACTGAATTGAAGGTCATATGACTTGAACGGGAACACCAGAGGCGGGTCAACCTGCTAAATTACGCGATACGATTGAACGCGACGTACTTACGTCAACACACCGCACCAGTCGCTTCTGATCTAACAAGCAGAAACAGCTGTTTCCATTAGATAAACATGGAGCGGCTCTGGGAGAGGGATTCAGACAGAGAGAGAAACAATAAAGCACACTGATTAAGCGCTGGCTTTCTTCCATGTTGTTCTCCATTGATTGCGTCCCTGATTTCTGTCGCACTGGTAACATCATCAACATTAAAACAGCATGATGGGGAAGGGAGCCAAATGCTGATTGTTAGCGGGTCGACCCATGTTTGAAAAAAACGTATTAACCTGCTATTTTCAGTGGGAAAGTGGCTTCAGATTCATACTCTGCAGTTGTAAATAATACTAATATCTCTTCACATTCATTATTGTTCTCTATTCTTAAAACTTTCTGATACAACTTCTGTTTTTATTCCATATTACATACATTTCAAAAGTTATTTGTGTCAACTGTAATTCTGTCTCCTGTGTACAAGGAAATTGTTTTATTTAGGAAAAAGATTTTTCTAAAGTTAAACCACAACTCAGTGTTGCTCGACTCGTTCCAGGGAGGAATCTTCCTGCGCCAATCACCACGGTCACCACGGTCCCTGCTTTCAATCAGACAGCTGGGGAAACCATTAAACCGGCTCCGCACCAGTCCCCCTTCCATCGATCCGTTTGGCTCACGGGCATCATTATTCTCAGCGCTGCGCTGCTCATAGCTGTCATCTTTGTTGCAGCCTGTTTGCTTCAAAGAAACTACACTAAACACAGGTAATGTGAAACATCGACTGACTTTTTGTTTTTAGTTTTTTCTCCTTCTATGGGGTTAGATAGCCATCAATATAAATGTATGCATAGGTGTCTGAAGTTACAAATATAAGTCATAAAGATATGAGTTTGCAAATTTACCAGTACGGATTAACAATCCCTGTTAACGTTGTTACACTCCTTACCAGTTGGTGGCGGTACTGCATCTGAAAGTTCTGTTTGATAACAGTGTTATAGGACATAGCTACAACTTTTTCAACAAAATAAACAATAAAAAAAAAGAATACATCCAAGTTGCATCTAGTATTATATTTTTATGAATTTCTTTGGTGGGCCAAAAATATATTAATGTTTCCTTCAGGCTCCGATGCTAACGTTGTTGCGAAAGACTTCTGCACCAATTAGAGCAGCAGGTTAAAGTAACGTGAGACGGAGTCACTGCTGTTAAATTTGCCTGAAATGTTGCTATATTTAGTGACTTTCCATGTCCCAGTAACTAGCGACAAATCTAGCAGCTTTTTTCTGTGTTTTTATTCATATTTTGTCTTGCCCATTTTTATATTCCTCTCTCATATTGGCTAGATTGAAGCATTGCCAAATAGAAAAGTGCAGACCACAGAATTTGCCCCATTTTGTGAATTAAAACTATAGCTGAAACTCATGATCTAGATAGATAACAAATTTGAATTATTCTTTCCTTAGTATGAAGCAAACATCTGGAAGAAAAATCATCCAAATCAATTCATTACTTTTTAAGTAATCCTGCCGGGAAAACTATGACGGAGTATTAGGGCCAGGCTAGAGATTTTTTTCTTCTATTTTGAGAATGAAGTCGTAACATTACGATAATAAAGTCATAAAATTACAAGAATAAAGTTGTAACATTAAGAGAATAAAGCCGTAACAATATGAGAATAAAGTCGTAAAATTACAAGAATAAAGTCGTAACATTAAGAGAATAAAGTAGGAAAATTACAAGAATAAAGTCGTAACATTAAGAGAATAAAGTCATAAAATTAAGAGAATAAAGTCGTAACAATATGAGAATAAAGTCGTAACATTAAGAGAATAAAGTCGGAAAATTACAAGAATAAAGTCGTAACATTAAGAGAATAAAGTCGTAAAATTACAAGAATAAAGTCGTAACATTAAGAGAATAAAGTCGTAAAATTACAAGAATAAAGTCGTAACATTAAGAGAATAAAGTCGTAAAATTACAAGAATAAAGTCGTAACATTAAGAGAATAAAGTCGTAAAATTACAAGAATAAAATCGTAACATTAAGAGAATAAAGTCGTAAAATTACAAGAATAAAGTCTTAACATTAAGAGAATAAAGTCGTAAAATTTCAAGAATAAAGTCATAACATTAAGAGAATAAAGTCGTAAAATTAGGAGAATAAAGTCGTAACAATATGAGAATAAAGTCGTAAAATTAAGAGAATAAAGTCGTAAAATTACAAGAATAAAGTCGTAACATTAAGAGAATAAAGTAGGAAAATTACAAGAATAAAGTCGTAACATTAAGAGAATAAAGTCGTAAATTAAGAGAATAAAGTCGTAACAATATGAGAATAAAGTCGTAAAATTAAGAGAATAAAGTCATAACAATATGAGAATAAAGTCATAACATTAAGAGAATAAAGTCGGAAAATTACAAGAATAAAGCCGTAACATTAAGAGAATAAAGTCGTAAAATTACAAGAATAAAGTCGTAACATTAAGAGAATAAAGTCGTAAAATTACAAGAATAAAGTCTTAACATTAAGAGAATAAAGTCGTAAAATTTCAAGAATAAAGTCATAACATTAAGAGAATAAAGTCGTAAAATTAGGAGAATAAAGTCGTAACAATATGAGAATAAAGTCGTAAAATTAAGAGAATAAAGTCGTACAATTACAAGAATAAAGTCGTAACATTAAGAGAATAAAGTCGTAAAATTACAAGAATAAAGTCGTAACATTAAGAGAATAAAGTCGTAAAATTACAAGAATAAAGTCGTAAAATTACAAGAATAAAGTCGTAACATTAAGAGAATAAAGTCGTAAAATTACAAGAATAAAGTCGTAACATTAAGAGAATAAAGTCGTAAAATTACAAGAATAAAGTCGTAACATTAAGAGAATAAAGTCGTAAAATTACAAGAATAAAGTCGTAACATTAAGAGAATAAAGTCGTAAAATTACAAGAATAAAGTCTTAACATTAAGAGAATAAAGTCGTAAAATTTCAAGAATAAAGTCATAACATTAAGAGAATAAAGTCGTAAAATTAGGAGAATAAAGTCGTAACAATATGAGAATAAAGTCGTAAAATTAAGAGAATAAAGTCGTAAAATTACAAGAATAAAGTCGTAACATTAAGAGAATAAAGTAGGAAAATTACAAGAATAAAGTCGTAACATTAAGAGAATAAAGTCGTAAATTAAGAGAATAAAGTCGTAACAATATGAGAATAAAGTCGTAAAATTAAGAGAATAAAGTCATAACAATATGAGAATAAAGTCATAACATTAAGAGAATAAAGTCGGAAAATTACAAGAATAAAGCCGTAACATTAAGAGAATAAAGTCGTAAAATTACAAGAATAAAGTCGTAACATTAAGAGAATAAAGTCGTAAAATTACAAGAATAAAGTCTTAACATTAAGAGAATAAAGTCGTAAAATTTCAAGAATAAAGTCATAACATTAAGAGAATAAAGTCGTAAAATTAGGAGAATAAAGTCGTAACAATATGAGAATAAAGTCGTAAAATTAAGAGAATAAAGTCGTAAAATTACAAGAATAAAGTCGTAACATTAAGAGAATAAAGTAGGAAAATTACAAGAATAAAGTCGTAACATTAAGAGAATAAAGTCATAAAATTAAGAGAATAAAGTCGTAACAATATGAGAATAAAGTCGTAAAATTAAGAGAATAAAGTCGTAACAATATGAGAATAAAGTCGTAACATTAAGAGAATAAAGTCGTAAAATTACAAGAATAAAGTCGTAACATTAAGAGAATAAAGTCGTAAAATTACAAGAATAAAGTCGTAACATTAAGAGAATAAAGTCGTAAAATTACAAGAATAAAGTCGTAACATTAAGAGAATAAAGTCGTAAAATTACAAGAATAAAGTCGTAACATTAAGAGAATAAAGTCGTAAAATTACAAGAATAAAGTCTTAACATTAAGAGAATAAAGTCGTAAAATTTCAAGAATAAAGTCATAACATTAAGAGAATAAAGTCGTAAAATTAGGAGAATAAAGTCGTAACAATATGAGAATAAAGTCGTAAAATTAAGAGAATAAAGTCGTAAAATTACAAGAATAAAGTCGTAACATTAAGAGAATAAAGTAGGAAAATTACAAGAATAAAGTCGTAACATTAAGAGAATAAAGTCGTAAATTAAGAGAATAAAGTCGTAACAATATGAGATTAAAGTCGTAAAATTAAGAGAATAAAGTCATAACAATATGAGAATAAAGTCATAACATTAAGAGAATAAAGTCGGAAAATTACAAGAATAAAGTCGTAACATTAAGAGAATAAAGTCGTAAAATTACAAGAATAAAGTCGTAACATTAAGAGAATAAAGTCGTAAAATTACAAGAATAAAGTCTTAACATTAAGAGAATAAAGTCGTAAAATTTCAAGAATAAAGTCATAACATTAAGAGAATAAAGTCGTAAAATTAGGAGAATAAAGTCGTAACAATATGAGAATAAAGTCGTAAAATTAAGAGAATAAAGTCGTAAAATTACAAGAATAAAGTCGTGACATTAAGAGAATAAAGTAGGAAAATTACAAGAATAAAGTCGTAACATTAAGAGAATAAAGTCGTAAAATTAAGAGAATAAAGTCGTAACAATATGAGAATAAAGTCGTAAAATTAAGAGAATAAAGTCGTAACAATATGAGAATAAAGTCATAACATTAAGAGAATAAAGTCGGAAAATTACAAGAATAAAGCCATAACATTAAGAGAATAAAGTCGTAAAATTACAAGAATAAAGTCGTAACATTAAGAGAATAAAGTCGTAAAATTACAAGAATATAGTCGTAACATTAAGAGAATAAAGTGGTAAAATTAAGAGAATAAAGTCGTACCATTACAAGAAGAAAGTTGTAAAATTACCAGAATAAAGTCTAAAAATCATGAGAATAAATTAATAACATTACGAGAATAAAGTTTTAATATTATGAGAATAAAGTCATCATTCATCAACCCGTTTCAGAAAGAAAGCTTGGAGCTCCGCCCAGCAGATGACGGACGACCAGCTCCACCAATCAGCAACCAGAGTCCACTTTGACATCCTGCCCAGTTTGATGCTGCTGCTAAAAGATTTCCTGATTTTTCAAACCGATGCTAAAGTAGAACTTCCCATGATGCTCCACATTCCTCATTTTAGGGAAGAAAGAGCTTCTAGTAGGAGTTGTCATTAAATACAACTTGTTTCTGGTAATTTTAGAAATTTATTCACTTAATATTACGACCTTATTCTCGTAATTTTATGACTATTCTCATAATATAACAACTTTATTCTCGTAATGTTACGACTTTATTCTCGTAATGTTACGACTGTCATGATGTAACAAAGTTCTGACCCAAATGCAGATAACCGAACAGAGAGACCAGGGAAAAGGTTTAACGGGTTTTATTGAAGAAGTAAACAGGGGGAGAAGTGTTGCTCTGAACACTGCTCAACTGGAACTGTAAAGTGAGGGGAAGACACAGCGGTTAGTTCAGGCTCAGTGGGAAATTTGACTCGTTAAACTTGGAGAAGAGGATTTGGTTGCTGACTCACGTTTCCAGAGAAGTTGTTGAATCCTTGACTCCTGTCTGTATGCTGTAGTTCCAGTGTTTGTCTGAGTCGGTGGAGGGCGGACAGGTTTTACCCAGAATGCGGTTGATAGTTGGTGAACGGAGAAACTGACTGCCACTCAGATTCCCTGCGGTACTTGAACGGGTCTTACTGGAGAATAATCCCTTTCTCAGTGAGAAGCTCAAACGATCTCTTGGGGAAAGTGGATCCAAACCTCCTGTTTGAATCCCAGCTCAGTTTGAAGCTCAGTTGATCCTTCCAGGGAGAGAAGGTCCGAGAAATCCAGTTTGCAGGATGTTCCTGCCAAGAGGCAAAGACAAAAACAAAGTTAAACTCAGGTTGACAAAAACTCATTTTGACGCAAAACTCAGCTTGGCTAGAGTACCCCAAACTGGCAAACACTCTGGCGTCGAGGTAGTGGCAAACAGCAGATTAAGAACACTCCGTTTAACGAGGAAACCATCAGAAGGTGTGTGAGGAGGCGGACCAGAACCAGGCGCCTCCTGGTGGATGGAGGGAGACAAACACAGAAACACAAACACAAAAACAGGAGTCCTGACAACAACTTTATTCTTGAAATAGAAGGAAAAAAAAATCTTCTTTGGGCAGGCAGCCAATCGACATTTCCTGTACTGAAGAGTTGGTAACATTGGTTCAAGGTTAGTTGTTTCCAGTACCTGGTAGCTTCGTGGCAGAGCTGAGAAATTGCTTCTTCCCTGCATTACATTTTCTCAGTTTCAAGCTAAAAAAAAACTAAATCAAAGCAAAAAAAGGGTGAAGAACTGTGAGGCTTTAGAGCGTCGATGCCGCCTTGCAGAAGCAAAGGTGCTCAGAAGCTCGCTTTTCTTTAAAAATTTGCTAATGCTAACCATTAGCATGGTGGACGTGGCAGTAGGCTGGCAGTCTGGAATGAAGGCGGCAAAGTTCGGCACTCGACACCACCTGATCTGTACAAGCAGATATTCATCCAGGTCGCCATAAATAATGTAAATCTGATACTAAAAATACTTATTTTTATCCTTAAATCACTGAAGAATTCTAATACACATCTTTGACTTTTCTGAGACGATTTGATGCTTTTCCCATTTTCTTCATTTAACTGCTTCTCTGACGCCATCGTGGGACATGCTCAGAGCCGTCCGACAAAATATAATTAAACCATGTTTATCTGCATTTTGGTTCTTTCCTTTTTTAGATGAGGCACTATATACCATAATTTAACATGAAAGGAAAAAATAAAACTCAAAAAGACTAGATTTATGTTTAAATCCAAGGCTGAAAAGGTTAGCTCCAGGAAGTAGCGTAGGATCCCATTTCTGGTGCAGATCCGACTTAAATGCATCGATTTACTCAGTAAATGCATTATTAACCTTTAACACATTATAGTTTAGTACGCTGAGTATGTATATAGTGAGAGAAAAACTTAATTTAGTTTTTTTTTTACTAAATAAAATCAAGGGCAACCGGAATGTATATCTGGATGCGCAAATGAGCCGACGGTACGGATCGTGCTTCCGGGTCGGATTGGGTAAGGAAGCCGTTTTTCTTCTCATTTACTGGAGGTTGGTCGACAACCTTCAGGTACGTCACTGCCTCCTACTGGTAAGGAGTGTAACAGCATCATCAGGCTGTACTCTCCTCAGTGTTTGCAATCCATAGATTGTTTTTTAAAAACTAAATGTCAGTATGAGTGAATTTTAGGTTTGCCACTAATTGTCTAAATTGCTATTAAGAGATTCCAAATAAATTACCTAGTTTACTATTTATCTAAAATAATAAAAATAGTCATTTTGAAGTAAAATGAGCCATTTCATTCTGAATTTTAGAATAATTAAGTTAAAATTAAATAATTCCATTTTTTTTCATTCTGTCTATTTAAGGTATTAATATTTCTGAAATAGCATTTTAATTTAAATCAAATCTTGTTGAGGAAGCCAAAATGCTTCAGTCCAGATTATTGATTAATGAGATATAATGGTATTGATTTTAGGACAACGCTCCAAGCTGCTCTCTTTGAAATATTGGCTCAGTGTTGTGCTAGTTACTGAAAAGCAGTAACTAGTTTCTGTTACTAGTTACTTCATTTCAAAAGTAACTTAGTTACTAACTCAGTTACTTACACCATAAGGTAATGCGTTACTGTGAAAAGTAACTATTTAGTTACTTTTTTTTTAAAGGTTCACATTATGCCCTTATAGCCTTCATTTCAGAAATGTTATCGCACTGGAGAATAATACCATCTGTTGAAGAACTTGACATGCATTTGCATCATGAAACTCTGCTAAGCAATTCTATATACAAGCAACAAAGATATTTTTCAAAGTGCCAATTTATTTCAGGGCAGAACAAACTGACAATGCTACATAGTAGGTAGTTGCCTGCAAAATTGCCTTTTACAGCAGGTGGCCTGCTATAATTTGTTCCCCCCTTGTAACTTTAAGAAACAAAGGTCAATCAACTCCAACGTTTCAGGAATGAATTGTCATCATAAAAGATACTTGTAAGCCAAAAATGAAAAAGCTGGGGCCTTTTTTGTCTGATTTAGACAGGGGGAACAGATTACAGCCGTTTTATTTCATCCCATTTTGCCAATTGTGGCAAAATGGGATGAAATAAAACGGCTGATGTTAGAAGACAAGCTGTTTATTAAGGATAGTACAACATAGATAAATTGTAAGTTAATATAAACACAAATGTAGATTTTAAGTACTAAATAAATTTCAACCAGGAAAAAATTATTTCCTTCTGCATATAGTCTTTAATGATTACACGTGCCCTCCATTTTTTATTTCATTTTTATTACAAGTATATGGTTTACAACAGTTTTCAATGGGATGAGAACATTTGGACACTGTGAAACAATGAGAGATTTTTTTAAGGAACGTGTGGAAAAGAACAAGGATCTGTTTGCTTTCAGAGGGAGGAGTAGACACTGCTGTCAGCGACCAGCTTTCAAGCAAACGTTTGTGTTTTATTATTAGAATTGGCTACAGGGAGGAGCTGTTTCACATGTTTAGCAGTTTTGATAATTGTGTTTAAATAAATTTGTCCCTCTAGGTCAGAACCGGACCTTGAAATGCTGCACTTTCCTGCACATCCTGAGATTTCCTACCAGCCACACATCCCAGCGCCTGCACCACAGAACCCTAACTGTAAGATGTTTTCATCTTTGGACAAATGCTTTCCTCGATTAATTTTTTTACTCCAAACCTCTCAAAACTATATTTAAAGTCTTAGGGAAGTCATATTCAATTTTCTTTGGAATGACTTTGACCTGGATGACTGATAAATATTCAAAAGTGAATGTTAGTTTTGTGTGTGGGAGTTACTGTTAAAATTGTTGTGATTTTTTATTTTATTTTTTTTTGACAGCTGAAAGATGTTTGTCAGTAAAATGCAGAGGTGTATCAATCAATCTAAGAAAACTTTGAAACCAGTGTACTCCTTATAATGCCTCGGAGAGTGCCAATGTTTAATTTTATTCATTCTTTTCTGATTTCCATAAGTTCAAAACCATTGCAAAGCTTAGACTCCACTGGTTTCAGGACCTGTAACTTACTCAAAACGGCCCCAGATAGACTTGTTCCGGGTTTCTGCATGGCCTGCAATAAACAATGAGGAATGTGGTTCTTCCTCAGCCACGGGTGAGGTGTTTCAGTTGCTGGAAGAATTCGGCAGCAGGTTGTTGGACACTCTGAAGGATGTCTTGGTGGAAAGAAACCAACTGACCCTGGGCAAGGAGCTAGGCAAAGGTCAGTGTGAAAAAAAACTACTTTTGCTAACTTATTAAAACAGGGTTTCCACGATTAGGTAAACATCAAATTCAAGGACCTTATACAAAGACCTTCCTGGATCAATTTCCTCAAATTCAAAGGCATGTAGTTTTAGGGCATCAGCTAGCCTTGTATATTCAAAATTGGCTTTTTTCAGGCATTTAATCAGATATGTTAGATGAACCAGATGGTAACTAAGCTGACTACATACAGGAAACAAAAGAGAAATCTTCCAGTTGATCACATTTCAAGGATTTCAAGGACCTGTTATAATGTCTTCTCCTGTCCAAATGTGATAGAATGCAGATTTGTCAGAGACATTTAGCCACAAGAAGTGGAGGCGAGTCAAACCAGTAAGGCATAGCTCAAGGTTTGGCAAAGGTTTACACTCCTTCTCCAACACGTCGTCATCAAATAGATGTTTTTTGTATCAGACTTCTGACTGAATGCTGATGAGGAAATTCAGCTGTGAACCCTCAGTAGCTACGTTTACATGCGCAAAATTTCCCCGATCCGATCCAAACCTTGGTTGATCGGAAATTCAAAATCTCCGTTTACATGGACACTAAATGAAATGATCCGATCATGACGTGTGTATACATGTACCAAGCGTTGGATCAGATTAAATCTTTTAAGCATGCGCAGAACTTCCTGCCAAACTTAGCAGTTCTGTCTGCGTCTGATTTTTGGGAGGCCTGACAAACGATGCGCTCGGAGCGAGCGGAAAGAAAAACGGAGAGAGGAGGAAAAAAGCGCTTGGCAGCGAAATGTCCGAGAGAAAATGTAGAGTATGAGCGATTGAACCGGCGTGGGAGAGCGAGTGGGCTGTGGAGAGAGAAAAGAGGAAGAGGAGGAGGATAAATTCCTGCTTCCTGCAGCTTTAAATGAACTTGAGTGTATAAGTCGGCGTTCCTAGACTCCTCGCGCCATGTTGTTCACAACAAGAGCGAGAGCGACCGGTGGTTTCCTGTTGTTGACAAGGCGGAAAAACGTCACGCTGACGTCGCACACATGCGCAATTAAGATTATTTTACTCTTAAGATCCGAATGGGTGTTTACATGGACGCCAATCGGAATGGCGATCGGCAAAAACCACCTCTCTCTTTCGGAATTAAATTTAGATCCGATCGGACCGAATCGGATTAGAATCTTCAGTCTGACATGTTTACATGAAACATTTTTGATCTGATCAGGCCTTCAATCCGATTATTTGTGTCCATGTAAACGTAGCTAGTGAGTTGTGGGGTAGTAGTTTTATAATGACTGGAATTGGGCATCCCAGCTCTAGCTTAAGGTCAAAACACACCGAATCTGACAGAAAATTCGTGTTGGACGCGGTTGTGGCGTTTAGTGCTCATTGAAAGTCAACGGGGATGATCACACCTGACACACTGTAGGGGGTTGCATAGCCCCGACTAAAGCCCCATTTCCAACCAAACCGTGCTAGCATAGTGCTAGTTCATCAGAAGGGCTCGGCGCGGTTCAGTTCTGGCTCATTTCTCAGATAACAAAGAGCGCATGAGCAGACCGCATCATCTCCTTAGCGTCAGCCTCCGTAGTCAGGAAATTTCAGACATTCCAGGGCTCGATGTTAAGCATCGCCCGATCTCGCCGAATAAGTAGTTTTTATTGTTGGGACAGTACACATTTCATTTCATTTGCCCGGCGTGTTAAGGCGTTTATGTTTTATCATCTTATACCAAATTTTAGCAAAATACTTTGATCGATTTAAAGCTTCTAGGGAAGTGCTTCCTCTCTTCATGTTTGACCTTTTATAGACATGTTCATTTATAGGAGAGTTTGGATCGGTGTACGAGGGGATCCTTACAACGCAGACCGGCGTTGACCTCAAAGTGGCGGTGAAAACTGTGAGAGGTTAGTGCTGAATATTTAAAGGCTGACCTGGACCTGAAGCCTGCTCAGGCAACTCTCCATTCTGATCTTTCTTTTCTTATTGCTTCGCTATGATTCCAGTGGGAATTCACAGCCGGCAAGACTTGCAGGAATTCTTACAAGAGGCAGAAATAATGAGGAATTTTGATCATGAGAACGTCGTCAAACTGCTCGGTAAGACGGCAAACAGAGACGCATGGAAGACGCCATCTTCTGTTCCCCCTTCCACTCCCCTCACCCTCAATAAGAACAGTCACACCATTTAACAAACCACTGTTTATTTTTATTTTTTGTAAATATAATTTTTTTCCCCACAGGTGTCACTTTAAAAAAGGAGGAGGAATCTCCTCTGCCTTTACCTCTGGTCATCATTCCATACATGAAACATGGAGACCTGCGGCGCTTCCTCATCGCCACACGCTACGGCGACATTCCGATGGTGAGGCGCTGTTTGTCAGACGTTACTTTATGTTTATTACTCCAGTATAAATCCTGCTGTTTAAAAGATCAACTTAAGCTTTTTACTCCAGTAAAAGTGTAAAAGAACAATTTTTAAAACTACTTAAAGTATAAAAGTAAAATTTTAATGAAAGAAGCTTTAATTCAATTCTATTCAGTTTATTTCTATAGCTCCAATTCACATCATGTCATCTCAGGTCACTTTCCAGTTCAACCAGATCATCCAGTCAGATTGATTCAAAGTTTTCTATCTAAGGAAAACCAGCTGATTGCATCGACTCATTGACTCTTCAGCAATCCCTCACACTAAGCATGCTTGTCATTAGATCTGACCCTTAGCTGTGGCTATAAAGTTAATCAATAATTCAGATTCAACAGGCCACCAAGACCGACAGGGTGCGACTCACCTGCTCCGCCCAGTTTGCAGACACGGCGGTGACCAGTGGGATTAAATAAACCAACAAATAAAAGTTCAATAGTTTTATTACAGTCAGGTATCGATACCTTAAAAGCCTAACGAAAGGAAACTGTATCGTCACGCTGATGGCTGCTCGCACAAATGGCTTCCTGGGCACCATATTCTCAGTTTTCTGCCAGTTTCCATTTGTTTTTCTGTCCCTTTATTTTCCCCTTTGTGCTCCAAATCCACTAATGGGAAACTCCTGGTCAACGGGTGATTCCCACCTGGGCTGGAGGCCTGAGCTCAACCAGAATGACAAACCGGCAGTGATGTCACGGTGCGGTAAGCCTAGCGCCATTCTACCCGCTTTCCAAGCTAAATCAATGGGAACTACTAGACACATCTGCAATCAACAACAATTATTGAAGATTTCCAGAGGACTTCACCATTGAAATTCACCAGAGCTATAGTGAAACTGACAATGCCCACGTGCATGGCAGCTAGATGCTGGAATACATCGGGTAAAAGTGAAAAAAAAGAATTATTCCACCTTTCTGATTCCTGATCCTCCACGGACGGGTTGGTCGTTGGATCGCCAACTTGAAGAGGGAGGATTTGCCATCGAACTTCTGGCCAGAGAAAAAACCCGTAATATGTAGCCAACATTTGGAAGAAGAATGTTTTCAAGATGACTTGGATAATAGCGCGTTGTGACAAACACCAGATACAGCACTGGGACTTGATCAACAGCCGATACCGCACCGTGACGTCACTAACCAGTAGGTGGCAGTAGTGTTCTTTGACAAACATGGATGCCTCCAGTAAAGCACATTCACATGAAAATTACTCTGAATTAAAAACACTGATCATTTATTGAACAGGATGGAATCATTTCAGATTTAAAGACCTTTCAGAAGTTTGAATTCTAAATATGACTGAATTTTTCCTTTCAAGACGAGTCAGTTGGGCCTGTTGCTCAGTGTTTAGTCCTGTTTCTCTCCTAGACATAGCTATGGACTCAGCTTTCACTGTGACTGACTGGATGTCTCTCTTTTATCCTTTTTGACATTAAAACTGTTTCAGATTCCATCTGATTAGCTATTTCTTTCCCAGACAGAACCCCCTATGGAGCTAGCTTACCGTTAGCTTTTCTACCATAGAAATTATGTATAGATCAGTGCCTCCATGTTCCGTTTTGAAAAAACCACGTAATATGTAGCCAACATTTGGAAGAAGAATGTTTTCAAGATGACTTGGATAATAGCGCGTTGTGACAAACACCAGATACAGCACTGGGACTTGATCAACAGCCGATACCGCACCGTGACGTCACTAACCAGTAGGTGGCAGTAGTGTTCTTTGACAAACATGGATGCCTCCAGTAAAGCACATTCACATGAAAATTACTCTGAATTAAAAACACTGATCATTTATTGAACAGGATGGAATCATTTCAGATTTAAAGAACTTTCAGGAGTTTGGATTCTGAATATGAGCGACTTTTCCTTTAAAGAAACATCTCTTCCTGCTTCTCTTCCAGTTTGTTCCCTACCAAACACTTCTGCGCTTTATGAGTGACATTGCTGCAGGGATGGCCTATTTGAGCTCGAAGGGATTTCTGCACAGAGACCTGGCTGCCCGCAACTGCATGTGAGTTCCACCTCTGAAGGGATGAAGATTAAGATGGCGAAAATTATATCCCCAGTTAAAATGTACGTCTCTGCTCAGGCTGGGGGACGATCTTAGGGTTCGCGTGGCCGACTTTGGACTTTCCAAGCAGACCTACAGCAGCAATTACTACCGTCAGAAAGCCGCCATCCGTGTGCCAATCAAGTGGATGGCCATCGAGAGCCTGTCTGAGTCGGTCTACACGACCAAAAGTGATGTGGTGAGTTCACCATAGTTCTCTGTTTCTTTTCTATATTACTATAAAACAGTGAAACTTCTGCTGAGTCACAGTGACACCTGCTGTCCAGATCAAAGGGAATCAGGGAACAAGCGTTCATTCATTTCCAACGGCATAAATAGAGCTCCAATTAAAAGAACAAACTAGAGCCAGAGATATTAATGATGATAAACATTACATTAAAACATCAAAAAAGGAAACTTAATTTTTTTTTTTTTTTAGGTTTTCAGAGTAATTTTGCATTTTTCTCAGATTGTATTTTTCCAAATGTGTTTTTTCAAAATGTATTTTCTTGACTTTATTTTTTTGTTTCAAGTTTCTCTTTATCAGATTGATTTTTATTCATTTCATTATTTTAAAATTTCATTTTCCGGATCACATTCTCTTTATTTCTGGGGGCGGGCTATCCTCTGAAGAAGCACATTTCTATTGGTCAGCTGGACGTTAGCAACAAGATTCTATTGGTCAAAAGGGAAGGTTTGGATTGGCTGGAAGTGAAGAGGATCTAAAAAATGCAATTACAGTGTAATAAAGGTTGATCATCTTAAATACTGCTACCTTAAAAACATGAGTTCAGCTTTAAGAGAGGCTTCCATTCAACTCAGGGAGGTAAATTTTAAAAGTTTTTATGTTTTTGATAATTTTTCATTTGAATTCGGTACCTAGAGTTGAGGTGAATGACTATATTACATTATATATTTGCTAAAACATTTTCTTTTCAATGAAACTTGCAATGATATATCCTTTCAACCCCAATTAATTCAGTTACACCAGTTGTTTAATTATTGAAAAATAGTTTAAAATCAGTTCATCAAGTTGAAATAACTCACACCGCAGCATAATACACAGTTTCCGCGGGTCATTAAAAGTCATTAAATAACAATTTTTTTAATTAAGGCCTTAATTGACATTAAAATTCATTAAATGTGATTATCGAGGCATTTAAAATATTTTTTTTTAAATATATGTTTATAAAAATAATTTCGTCAGATATATCGTGATTTATTTGTGCGGAAATGCTTTCGGTTGATCGTAAAGTCGTACGTTCGGAAAAGAAGCTCGAGGCGGAGAAAAAGCTAGAGAATGGGAAAATGCAGATTTCAACAAAAGTGGCTGGAAAACGAGGAATTTGGGACACGGCTGCAGCCTGTCGACCATAAAGATGACAAATGATTTATATATGAGAACCATGGGTATTTGTTGATGGCATTATAATTATTTCTAAGAGCATTAAAATAGCATTCAATTAGAGTTACCCATTCCTGTACAAACCCTATAATGTGCTGATCAAAACTTGCTTTAAATGATAGAATTGAAACGGATGCAGTTTGTGAGACTCAATCAGAAATTAAAAAAACATTGTGAAATTAAAATTCAAAAACAAAATTTTGAAAAGATAAAATAAAGTATGGTTTTAAAAAATCAGTTACAGATGGACCCAGGAATTAAAGGAAGTTTCAAAACATTTAATGACAGAAAAATAATCAAAAATAATAGAAAGGGATGCGGGCTGCTGAGGATAAGAGCAGCGCAGTGGTTGTTGGAGGGGGCGGGGCATCGGCCAATCACTGACACTCTGGAGGGAGAAAAACAGGGAAGTGACCACGATCATCTGACGGAGGGTTGCCAACTCCCTGAAAAAAAAAAAAAGGGACACGTCATGTGCGTGCCAGCTGAGCCGATTGCCTTTACCCCTCCTAGCATGGGGATTTTTATTTCTATTTCGAGAATGAAGTAAAATTACGAGAATATTGTGGAAACGAGAATAGTTATAACATTATCAGAATAAAGTAAAAAAGTTACGCGAATAACGTAACACTTTTTAGAACAAAGTCATAAAATTATTAGAATAAAGTCATAACATTATGAGAATAAAGGCAAAAAATTACAAGAATAAAGAAATAAAAATACAAGAATAAAGTCGAAACATTACGAAAATAAAGTCAAAACATTACAAGAATAAAGAAATAAAAATACAAGAATAAAGTCGAAACATTACGAAAATAAAGTCAAAACATTACAAGAATAAAGTCATAAAATTACGAGAATAAAGTCGTAACATTATGAGAATAAAGTTGTAAAATTATCAGAATAAAGTCGTAACATTAGGAGAATAAAGTAAAAAAATTACAAGAATAAAGTCTAAAAACACAAGAATAAAGTCGAAACATTACGAAATTAAAGTTGGAACATTACAAAATTAAAGTCAAAACATTACAAGAATAAAGTCATAAAATTACGAGAATAAAGTCGTAAAATTACGAAAAATAGAATCGTAACATTATGAAAATAAAGTCATAAAATTACAAGAATAAAATCGTAACGTTATGAGAACAAAGTCATAAAATTACAAGAATAAAGTCGCAGAAATACAAGAATAAAGTCGAAACATTACGAAAATTAAGTTGAAACATTACGAGAATAAAGTCAAAACATTACAAAAATAAAGTCGAAACATTACAAGAATAAAGTCATAAAATTACGAGAATAAAGTAGTAAAATGACGACAATAGAATCGTAACATTATGAAAATAAAGTCATAAAATTACAAGAATAAAATCGTAACGTTATGAAAATAAAGTCATAAAATTATCAGAATAAAGTCGCAAAAACACAAGAATAAAGTCGAAACATTACGAAAATTAAGTTGAAACATTACGCGAATAAAGTCGAAACGTTGCAAAACTAAAGTTGAAAGATTACAAGAATAAAGTCATAAAATTAGGAGAATAAAGTCGTAAAAATTACAACAATAGAATCGTAACATTATGAAAATAAAGTCATAAAATTAGAAGAATAAAATCATAACGTTATGAGAATAAAGTCTGAAAATTACAAGAATAAAGTTGTAAAAATACAAGAATAAAGTCGAAACATTACGAAAATAAAGTTGAAACATTACGAGAATAAAGTCGAAACATTACGAGAATAAAGTCGAAACATTATGAGAATAAAGTCGAAACATTAAAAGAATAAAGTCATAAAATTACGAGAATAAAGTGGTGTAATTACGACAATAGAATTGTAACATTATGAAAATAAAGTCATAAAATTACAAGAATAAAGTTGTAACGTTATGAGAATAAAGTCATAAAATTACGAGAATAAAGTGGTGTAATTACGACAATAGAATTGTAACATTATGAAAATAAAGTCATAAAATTACAAGAATAAAGTTGTAACGTTATGAGAATAAAGTCGAAACATTACGAAAATAAAGTTGAAACATTACGAGAATAAAGTCGAAACATAACAAAAATAAAGTTGAAACATTACAAGAATAAAGTCATAAAATTACGAGAATAAAGTCGTAAAATTACGACAATAGAATCGTAACATTATGAAAATAAAGTTGTAAAATTACGACAATAGAATCGTAACATTATGAAAATAAAGTCATAAAATTACAAGAATAAAATCGTAACATTATGAGAATAAAGTCATAAAATTAAAAGAATAAAGTTGTAAAATTATGAAAAAAAAGTCGCAAAATTATAATTATCACTATTTTTCATTTTCAAAATGTGTTCTTTGTAAATATAATAGAACCAAAGTCCTATTTGCATGTGATCCTGATCGCTTTTTTCATCAGGATAACATCTGGATTTCTCTGTGCATTAGTGTGAACGCAGCGCAGCTTCATTAGCCTAATCCTTTCAAAATGTTTGCGCCCTCATCATAGTGGTCGTTCGGAGTAACCATGTGGGAGATTGTGTCCAGAGGAAGGACTCCATATCCTGCCGTCCACAACTACGAGCTGCTGGACCTGCTGCTGTCAGGACTCCGACTCAAAGCGCCTGCAGACTGCGATCCCAAGCTGTCAGTTCGTCCTCCTTTCTCTTGATGACAAAAAATTCCTGAAACAATCAGTGAAACGTGTGACTCTCTCTCTCTCTCTCTCCTGTCCTCCCCTCACATCAGTTATGGACTCATGAAGAGCTGCTGGGATCCAGAGCCGGGTCTGAGGCCGGACTTCAGGGATCTGCATGAAGCTCTAGGAGTTCTTCTGTCTGAGCTGCCCGTCCTGGAAGCCTGGCAGGAGGCCAGATACATCAACCAGGGACTAGACGCCGCGGCTGGTTCTGCGTACGAGAATCCTCAGACGGACTCTGGAGGGAGGCCGGAAAACGTCTACCTGTCTTCTCCTGTGGGTGGAGGGACGCCACAGCTGCAAACAGAGCTGGTTTCAAAGACATAGAAGATTAAAATGAATTGGTTCCATTATTCTGCTACTGTGTCCATGGGCGGTTCTAGACAGGGGCCAACGGGGGCCAGTGTCCCTGTAGATCATGTCTTTATAGGAACCAATCATGCCCTGGCCCCTGTTATGGCCCCTGTACTGAAGACATGATACTCAAAGAAATTCTCATGATGATCTACGCTGGAACAGACATGGTTACTGAAAGCTCCTTTGGATCTATTTCATTTTTTTCTGTTTTACTAATTATTTAAAAAAAAACAATAAGGTGATAGCTTCAGTGGTATTGAGATAGGATCCCAGTTTTCATTCAAATGTTTTTTTCAAAACAAATAAAAAAAAATACTTACATTTTTACAGGTGATTTTATCTGTTTTTCTTGAGTTCTAATTCAGATTATATAGAAAACAGTCATTTTAATTTAAATTAAGTCAAAAATGTGTAAAATTCCTAAATTATGAATGTATTTCGACCTAATAAGACATAGAATTTTAATTAAACCTAATTGAAAAGAAATTTTGCTTCATGAAGCAATATTAATATATTTAAATCCTTTGCCCTGTTTTTTATTTCCAGCTTTTCTGTCCCCCCATGAAAACACGCTGGCCCCCTCCTGGGCCCCCGGTACATTTGGTCTAGAACCGCCACTGTCTGTGTACCTAATTACATCTTAATTAAAATATCTTCTTTTAACTTATTTTAACGCAAACTGCCTTTTCAACAATCAGGGTTACATAGAAAAGTGTTATTTTAGTAGAAAATGCTCTATAGAAACAATTATTCACCACCTGGAACCATTTTATGGAATAATTTGATCATACTTTATCCCAATAAATACATACTTTACAAAGATTGGATGGAGAGAAACATGTGATCTATTGTCCACCTAATAGATGCCAATGGCTCAATATTAAACTAAGAACAGTTCTGCATTAAATATAAACCCAGTTCCTCTAAAAATGGAATTAATCGGATTCATTAAACGATTGAAAAAAAAAAATTATTAATCAGACTCAAAGTCTGATATAACATCAACAGAGAAACCAAACTTTCTGCTGTTTCTTACATTTAATATCACTCATCTATTTAAAAAGTCAACAAGTAAACAATCTAATCTACACTTTATTCCCTAGGAAAATATATAGAAATTATATTCTTTACACATTTAAAATAAAACAATGAGGAAAAGTCAAGAATTCTTTATGTGAAACTTCTAATGCACCCAAAAGCTAAAGATGTTAAGTATGATTTACTCTGAATAATTGAAGCAGGAATAATATGGAGGACAATTGATGCTTTTTGTTTGAAAATGATATAAAAATAATAGATCCTAATGTTTTATTATTGAGTTAAATAATTTTGGAATAAAAATGGATGGATCGAACCAACAGTTAAACTACTAGAGATATGAAAACATTCTTGATATTAGTGATTTTATATATGAATCCCCTCCTGTTTTTAACATGTCTAAATGGATTAATAAATAGAATTAAGGGCGCCATGTTGGGGAGGTCAACTTGCTGCCCTAACCAGCTGGTTTAACCAGAACAGCTGAAGGATACTGTTTTTGTTTGAATCAATGGACAGCTCTAGGGATACTTTGCGTAGCAATCTTTGTAAGACATTAGCACATAGACAGCATGTATACACACACTATATATATATATATATATATATATATATATATATATATATATATATATATATATATATATATATAAGAGAGACAGATGTTTTTAGCCAAAAGAAAACAAAAAAACGTGAAATTTATTCAATATTCAGCGAGTTAAAGTTGATTAAAAGTGATTCTGTTCCTGCTCAACACTTTACACTGAGCGGAGCTGTCGACCGCCCCAAGATGGCGCCACCAGATCATATGAGCGCTGACGATGCGGGTCAGTGTCTGAGTGGCTCACAGTCACATGAAATCATCGCGTAATTGACGTGTAGTCGACGCGTTCTTAATGCGTCAACTACGTGTGACAGATTGAAAGGCGAAGACAACACGGTAATAACGCGCAGACAGCGCGTGAAACACCTGTTATTCACGTGTTGTCTACGTGTCACAAACCAGGAAAACAGTAATTGAACCATTTAGCTTCCATAAAGCTACATCTAGCAGACAAGCTTTAGCTCAAAAAGCGCATTTCATCCCAGAGTGACACATCACCTTTCGTCACTTCCGGACCTGCGCAGTTGTCTCAAACCTCTACCGAGCAGCGAACAGAGAACCAGCTGGAAAAAACGATAAAACAAGCAGAATAAGAGACGGTTTTTGAAATATGTTCGCTTAAAAGACACTTTAAAGGTAGAAAACCCGGAGGAGAGCAGCTCAGACGGCTGGAAAGCATCGCAGAGCCTCAGGAACCGTCCAGGCATCGGCTCGGTCTGCCGTAGAGGGAAGGAAGAGTCAGTTCGGCCAAAGAGACGCAGCGCAGCAAGAAACCATGAACCCTGAGTAGTGAGTCTCCTCTTCATCACCTCCTCATCCTCACAGCTGCTCTGTTACCATAGTATCTGCTCTAACGAGGGGGGGTGCGGATTTAAAGGACATAGCTGGCACCTAGCTGGCCCCTATGTGGCTCCAAGCTGGCCCCTAGCTTGCTCCGAGCTGGCCCCTGGCCATCTCCTTTCTGGCCCCCAGCTATCCTCTAGCTGGCCCCTATCTGGCTCCTTGCTGGCCCCTAGCTGGCTCCAAGCTGGCCTCTAGGTATCTCATTTCTGGCCCCCAGCTATCCCCTAGCTGGCTCCAAGCTTGCTCCAAGCTGGCCCCTAGCTTGCTCCTAGATGGCTCCTAGCTGGCCCCTAGATGGCTCCTAGATGGCTCCTAGCTGGCCCCTAGATGGCTCCTAGCTGGCCCCTAGATGGCTCCTAGATGGCTCCTAGCTTGCCCCTAGATGGTTCCTAGCTGACCCCTAGCTGGCTCCTAGATGGCTCCTAGCTGGCCCCTAGATGGCTCCTAGATGGCTCCTAGCTGACCCCTAGCTGGCTCCTAGATGGCTCCTAGCTGGCCCCTAGATGGCTCCTAGCTGACCCCTAGCTGGCTCCTAGATGGCTCCTGGCTGGCCCCTAGATGGCTCCTAGCTGACCCCTAGCTAGCTCCTAGATGGCTCCTAGCTGGCCCCTAGCTGGCTCCTAGATGGCTCCTAGCTGACCCCTAGCTTGCTCCTAGCTGGCTCCTAGATGGCTCCTAGCTGGCTCCTAGATGGCTCCTAGCTGACCCCTAGCTTGCTCCTAGCTTGCTCCTAGATGGCTCCTAGCTGGCCCCTAGATGGCTCCTAGCTGGCCCCTAGATGGCTCCTAGCTGACCCCTAGCTGGCTCCTAGATGGCTCCTGGCTGGCCCCTAGATGGCTCCTAGCTGACCCCTAGCTGGCTCCTAGATGGCTCCTAGCTGGCCCCTAGCTGGCTCCTAGATGGCTCCTAGCTGACCCCTAGCTTGCTCCTAGCTTGCTCCTAGATGGCTCCTAGCTGGCCCCTAGATGGCTCCTAGCTGGCCCCTAGATGGCTCCTAGATGGCTCCTAGCTGGCTCCTAGATGGCTCCTAGCTGGCTCCTAGCTGGCCCCTAGATGGCTCCTAGCTGGCCCCTAGATGGCTCCTAGATGGCTCCTAGCTGGCTCCTAGATGGCTCCTAGCTGACCCCTAGCTGGCCCCTAGATGGCTCCTAGATGGCTCCTAGCTGACCCCTAGCTTGCTCCTAGATGGCTCCTAGCTGGCCCCTAGCTGACCGCTAGGTTGCTCCTAGATGGCTCCTAGCTGGCTCCTAGCTGACACCTAGCTGGCTCCTAGATGGCTCCTAGCTGGCCCCTAGATGGCTCCTAGATGGCTCCTAACTGACCCCTAGCTTGCTCCTAGCTGGCTCCTAGATGGCTCCTAGCTGGCCCCTAGCTTGCTCCTAGATGGCTCCTAGCTGGCCCCTAGATGGCTCCTAGATGGCTCCTAGCTGGCCCCTAGATGGCCCCTAGATTGCTCCTAGCTGACCCCTAGATGGCTCCTAGATGGCTCCTGGCTGGCCCCTAGATGGCTCCTAGCTGACCCCTAGCTGGCTCCTAGATGGCTCCTAGCTGGCCCCTAGCTGGCTCCTAGATGGCTCCTAGCTGACCCCTAGCTTGCTCCTAGCTTGCTCCTAGATGGCTCCTAGCTGGCCCCTAGATGGCTCCTGGCTGGCCCCTAGCTGGCTCCTAGATGGCTCCTAGCTGGCCCCTAGCTGGCTCCTAGATGGCTCCTAGCTGACCCCTAGCTGGCTCCTAGCTTGCTCCTAGATGGCTCCTAGCTGGCCCCTAGATGGCTCCTAGATGGCTCCTAGCTGGCCCCTAGATGGCTCCTAGATGGCTCCTAGCTGGCTCCTAGATGGCTCCTAGCTGGCCCCTAGATGGCCCCTAGATGGCTCCTAGCTGGCCCCTAGATGGCTCCTAGCTGGCCCCTAGATGGCTCCTAGCTGGCTCCTAGCTGGCTCCTAGATGGCTCCTAGCTGACCCCTAGCTGGCCCCTAGATGGCTCCTAGATGGCTCCTAGCTGACCCCTAGCTTGCTCCTAGATGGCTCCTAGCTGGCCCCTAGCTGACCCCTAGCTGGCTCCTAGATGGCTCCTAGCTTACCCCTAGCTGGCTCCTAGCTGACCCCTAGCTGACCCCTAGCTGGCTCCTAGATGGCTCCTAGCTGGCCCCTAGATGGCTCCTAGATGGCTCCTAGCTGACCCCTAGCTTGCTCCTAGCTGGCTCCTAGATGGCTCCTAGCTGGCCCCTAGCTTGCTCCTAGATGGCTCCTAGCTGGCCCCTAGATGGCTCCTAGATGGCTCCTAGCTGGCCCCTAGATGGCTCCTAGATGGCTCCTAGCTGACCCCTAGCTGGCTCCTAGCTGCTCCTAGCTGGCTCCCTAGCTGGCCTCCTAGATGGCCTCTAGCCCTAGATGGCCCTAGATGGCTCTAGCTGGCCCCTAGCCATGCGCTACCTAGATGGCTCCTAGCTGGCTGCCCCTAGATGGCTCCTAGCTGACCCTACTAGCATGGCCCCTAGTCTTGGCTCCTATGACCCCAGGCCCAGCTGTCCTAGATGCTCCTAGCTGCCCCAGCCCGCTGGCCCCTCTCCAGATGGCTCCTAGCTGGCCCCTCCTAGATGGCTCCTAGATGAGCTCCCTAGCTTGCTCCTAGCTGGCCCCTAGATGGCTCCTAGATGGCTCCTAGCTGGCGCTCCTAGATGGCTTGCCCTAGATGGCTCCTAGCTGGCCCTAGCTGACCCACCTAGCTGGCTCCCTAGATGGCTCTAGCTGGTACCCTAGCTGGCTCCTAGCTGACCCCTAGTGGCTCCTGCTGACCCCTAGCTGGCTCCTAGATGGCTCTATAGCTGACTAGCTTGCCCTAGATGGCTCCTAGCTGGCTCCTAGCTGACCCCTAGCTGCTCCTAGAGGCTAGCTACCCCTAGCTGGCTCCTAGCTGACCCTAGGCTGTGCTCCTAGATGGCTCCTAGCTGGCCCCTAGATGGCTCCTAGATGGCTCCTAGTGCCCTAGTGAGCCTCCTAGATGGCTCCTAGCTGGCCCGCCCTAGCTGCTCCTAGCTGGCCCTAAGCTGGCCCCTAGCTGATGCTCCTAGATGGCTCCAGTGACCCTAGCTGCTCCTAGCTGACCCTAGCTGGCCACCTGGCTCCTAGATGGCTCCTAGACTTGGCCCCCTAGCTGGCCCTAGCTGCCCTAGATGGCTCCTAGCTGACCCCTAGCTGGCTCCTAGCTGACCCCTAGATGCTCCTAGATGGCTCCTAGCTGGCTCCCAGCTGGCCCTAGATGGCTCCTAGCTGGCTCCTAGATGGCTCCTAGCTGACCCCTAGCTGGCTCCTAGCTGACCCCTAGCTTGCTCCTAGATGGCTCCTAGCTGGCTCCTAGATGGCTCCTAGCTGACCCCTAGCTGGCTCCTAGCTGACCCCTAGCTTGCTCCTAGCTGGCTCTTAGCTGACCCCTAGCTGGCTCTTAGCTGACCCCTAGCTGGCTCTTAGCTGACCCCTAGCTTGCTCCTAGCTGGCTCCTAGCTGACCCCTAGCTTGCTCCTAGCTGGCTCTTAGCTGACCCCTAGCTTGCTCCTAGCTGGCTCCTAGCTGACCCCTAGCTTGCTCCTAGCTGGCTCCTAGCTGACCCCTAGCTTGCTCCTAGATGGCTCCTAGCTGGTCCCTAGATGGCTCCTAGATGGCTCCTAGATGGCTCCTAGCTGACCCCTAGCTGGCTCCTAGCTGGCCCCTAGCTGGCTCCTAGATGGCTCCTAGCTGGCCCCTAGCTGGCTCCTAGATGGCTCCTAGCTGACCCCTAGCTGACCCCTAGCTGGCTCCTAGCTGGCTCCTAGCTGACCCCTAGCTGGCTCCTAGCTGACCCCTAGATGGCTCCTAGCTGACCCCTAGCTGGCTCCTAGCTGACCCCTAGCTTGCTCCTAGATGGCTCCTAGCTGGCTCCTAGATGGCTCCTAGCTGGCCCCTAGCTGGCTCCTAGATGGCTCCTAGCTGACCCCTAGCTCGCTCCTAGCTGACCCCTAGCTTGCTCCTAGCTGGCTCCTAGATGGCTCCTAGCTGGCTCCTAGCTGACCCCTAGCTGGCTCCTAGCTGACCCCTAGCTTGCTCCTAGATGGCTCCTAGCTGACCCCTAGCTGGCTCCTAGCTGACCCCTAGCTTGCTCCTAGCTGGCTCTTAGCTGACCCCTAGCTTGCTCCTAGCTGACCCCTAGCTTGCTCCTAGCTGACCCCTAGCTTGCTCCTAGCTGGCTCCTAGCTGACCCCTAGCTTGCTCCTAGCTGGCTCCTAGATGGCTCCTAGCTTGCTCCTAGATGGCTCCTAGCTGACCCCTAGCTGGCTCCTAGCTGACCCCTAGCTGGCTCCTAGCTGACCCCTAGCTTGTTCCTAGCTGACCCCTAGCTTGCTCCTAGCTGGCTCCTAGCTGATCCCTAGCTTGCTCCTAGCTGGCTCCTAGATGGCTCCTAGCTTGCTCCTAGATGGCTCCTAGCTGACCCCTAGCTGGCTCCTAGCTGACCCCTAGCTTGTTCCTAGCTGACCCCTAGCTTGCTCCTAGCTGGCTCCTAGCTGACCCCTAGCTTGCTCCTAGCTGACCCCTAGCTTGCTCCTAGCTGGCTCCTAGCTGACCCATAGCTTGCTCCTAGCTGGCTCCTAGATGGCTCCTAGCTTGCTCCTAGATGGCTCCTAGCTGACCCCTAGCTGGCTCCTAGCTGACCCCTAGCTTGCTCCTAGATGGCTCCTAGCTGACCCCTAGCTGGCTCCTAGCTGACCCCTAGCTTGCTCCTAGCTGGCTCCTAGCTGACCCCTAGCTTGCTCCTAGATGGCTCCTAGCTGGCCCCTAGATGGCTCCTAGATGGCTCCTAGCTGACCCCTAGCTGGCTCCTAGCTGGCCCCTAGCTGGCTCCTAGATGGCTCCTAGCTGGCCCATAGCTGGCTCCTAGATGGCTCCTAGCTGGCCCCTAGATGGCTCCTAGATGG